TTTTTATCGCGAGTTAAATGAAAAAAGTACCCGATTTTTGAGAGTGCCAGCAACTTTGTCTACTTTGCGATTTTTTCTCTCCAAAACTATTTGACGAAAAAATTTCAAATTTGAACTGGTGGTAAACCGATGTGTTCTTAATGTGGGGCATATTTTATTTTTTCGATATTCCATATAGTTTCGCGGAAAATCGCGGTTTAGTAGGGTGCTGTTATTTCGAAAACGACCTGGCGAATTTCAACGCGGTTTTTACCAAAATATGTCAAATAACGCGGATTTTCGGATTCCGTTATCAGTTTTTCAAAAATAAGGCTCCCTAATTTTTTAAGAGCGATTTAATGGAATTACAAATTAAAGAGAAACAGAAATCAGCTATGCGGGGAGAGGAAGGTTCCGTCCAATCGGAACAGATGGTGCGTCCCAGACAGTACGTCGCGCCTTTATCTTGCCTACATAAAGAAATAAGGCGCGACGTCCTGTCTGGGACGCACCATCTGTTCCGATTGGCCGGAACACCCCGCAGAGCTTATTTCTGTTTCTTTTTAATTTGTAATTCCATTAAATCGTTTTTAAAAAAATAGGGATCCTTAATTTTGAAAAACTGATAACGGAATCCGATAACCAACATTATTTGACATATTTTGGTGAAATCCGCGAGGAAATCCACCCAAACGTTTTCGACATAACGGCGTCTTACTAAACCGCGATTTTCCGCGAAAGTATATGAAATATCGAAAAAATAAAATATGCCACTCATTGAGAACACATCAGACTACCACCTGTTCAAAATTAAAATTTTTTCGTACGATAGTTTTCGAGAAAAAAAATCGCAAAGTTGATAAAGTTGCCAATTCCGTAAAAAATCGGGTACATTTTTCATTTAACTCGCGGTAAAAAGAAAACCGTGGATCCGAAAATTTTCAGATTAACACAAGTTACGTAGAAATGTTCAGTGATTACAACAAACTTTGTTGCAATTTTTTTTATGGAGCGGTTGCGAAGATATCGATCTCTAAAGTGAGGGGCCTTGACTTTTTGCACGGATAGTAGACAGCTATTCTCAGCACCAAAACATACTCCATAATGTTGTTTAAGCATGTTCATTTTTATTTTAGCCAGAACTCCAGAAACGTCTAATGACCGATCTCGCTGAGACACCCCGTATGTAGTGTAAAAGTAATATTAATGCATTTTAAATAAAGTATGAAAAAATTAAATGTAAATTATTTATTGGGTTATAAATCATGAATAAAGAATATTTATATTTATTTATAAAGTCTCGAATTATTCTTTCTAGAACCCGTTCACATTCCCTACTATCACGTATTAAAACCTAATCATGATTTCACGCAAATTTTAAAATAACAGTAGAAAAGCAATAATCATAAAGTTACAAAATGGGCAATTATGAACTGTAACATTTTACGTAATTCTAAATCTTAATTTATATCATGTGAAAAACACTTCAGATTATCCCAAAGAAAACAGAATTGAAATTGTTTCTAAGTCTGTGAAGTAGCAACACAATTTTCAAAATTTCAATTAATAAAAGAAATTAGTAATATCAGCTTAAAGAGTTTTAATGCTTTTTTTAAACTATAAAAATTTTAATATAATTTTGAAAATACTTAGCTATCTTCACCGACATCATTTAACTTTGAATCAATTTTTTTAATCTTTTATAACTTCATTTTGTCACTGACCTGTTGCGTTTGATTTGAAAGTGTGGCAACAACAACCGTTCTTAACTTTCTTGAATACAAAGGCCGTGACAGAAATCCAACAAACCGTAAACCGTAATTATGGATCATCGCGTTTTAAACGTTTGGAAAACCACTCAACTAATAAAACCAAAAAAAAAACAAAACTAGCTTCATCTATCTAAATTCGTACCTGATACTCCAACAGAATTTTACTAAACTCCTTCACACATTCTAAATCGATCTTGTTTAAACCCAATCGTTGATTAATATCGTAACTATTTATATGGTTAAACCATCTGGAAAGATGAACGTAACGATTCGAATCGTTTAAATTAGTGTTAATACTTTTGAAGAATTCGAAGGTGTAGACGTCAAGATTTGATGGTGTGTAACCCCATAAATAACTTCTTGTTGATAAATATCGATTTAAAATGGTTAAACTTGTTCGTTTTAATTTTTCGATTAATTCGGAAAGATTTAAATGCTTAAATCAATCAAAATTATAATACAATTAAGGAGGTACATAAAGATGATGCAATAGTAATTTTAATTTCTTTGTAAGACTTGGGAAACAACATTTTGAAATCAATTCTCAACAATTTGAATTAATAAAAGTAGTAGTAAGTCGTAATTTTATTGTATTGAGTGGCCCAAATACTGTACTCACCAGTGAGAATTGTATAAGTACACAGAAAGAATAAAAATTAGTTTGTATGATATGATTTAATAGTAGCAAGAAATAAATAAAAAAGACATGTTTTGATGTAATGTCTCTATCCTACAATAATAAATCAAGAGATCCCAAAGGTGAGCACAAAATTTAGAACACCTGTACTGCATAACACTGATTATGAGTAACAGTTCCGTTTCATTTCGTGATTTCACGCACGCGATACAAAACCTTACCTTCTCTTTACTTTCCTTTGCAGCTTTTAATTGTCTGACCAGGTCGCCTTGCTGTTGGATTTGTTGTTCGATCTTCGCCTTGTCTAACATATTCAGTACACCAACAATTTAAAAATGCCTTTTTTGTATTTTTGTTTATCAACTTAAAAAAAATCGATTTAATATAATGTTGAAAATTTTCACGTGGACAGTTCTTTTTTTGAGAGGTTAGGTACGTAAATGTCACGATAGGAGCACTAACGCGCACGTCTAAACAGGCGCGCATGAGTAATACGAATGAGCCAAATGAGGTAATTCAAAGCACAAGGATATTTGCAAAAGGTACTGTTATGAAATGCGCATTCCCCTCTCTTTGATGTAAGGTGATTTTCGCGACGGTTTCGATTCTAATGATGGACATACATAATGTGATGAATTGTTGCATCATTTTTGATTAAAAATAAAATAATTAATTTATGAAAATTTATATAAAAATAACATATTTAGTTAATATTTTCAATAAAAATGACAGTTTTTTTGACATGTATAAGAATCTATAAACTAAGGTAGAAATAAAAAATACAAAAGATACCATCACCTGAAAAAACTACACAGTGCAATGTGTGTTGCATATGTTGCAGTAAAAGCTTAACTTTAGAAAATCTATACTTTAACTATACAGTGTATGCCAAAAAGTCAGCAACACCAGGTTTTTTGGTTATATTGCATATACGATTCTGAAATTTTGTTGATATGAGATGATCATTCCGATTTAAAATGTTTTAAGATGGATGCCACACTTCAAAATCGTTGTTACAAACGGAATGTTATGTTTTTTAGTGATACCTACTATCCGTGCAAAAAGTCAAGGCCCCTCACTTTAGAGATCGATATCTTTGTAACCGCTTTATGGAAAAAATTGCGGTAAAGTTTATTGTAATGAGTGAACATTTCTGCGTATCACTTGTTAATTTGGAAATTTTCGGGTCCGCGGTTTTTCTTTTATTGCGAGTTAAGTGTAACTATCTCTACTTTGCTAAATTTGAACTGGTGGTAAACCGATGTGTTCTTAATGTGGGGCATATTTTATTTTTTCGATATTCCGAATAGTTTCGCGGAAAATCGCCGTTTAGTAGGATGCGGTTATTTCGAAAACGACATGGCGGATTTCAACCCGGTTTGGTGGTTGTCGGATTCCGTTATCAGTTTTTCAAAATTAGAGCTCTCTAATTTTTTAAGAGAGACTTAATAGAATTACAAATTAAAGAGAAACCGAAATAAGCTATGCGGGGAGAGGAGGGTTCCGTCCAATTGGAACAGATGGTGCGTCCCAGACAGTACGTCGCGCCTTTATCTTACCTAGATAAACAAAAAGGCGCGACGTCCTGTCTGGGACGCACCATCGATATAACGGCTAAACCGCGATTTTCCGCGAAACTGTATGGAATATCGAAAAAACAAAATATGCCACTCATTAAGAACACATCAAGCTACCACCTGTTCAAAATTTAAATTTTTTAGTATGATAGTTTTCGAGAAAAAAATCGCAAAGTTGACAAAGTTGCCTGTAACGTAAAAAATCGGGTACATTTTTCATTTAACTCGCGATAAAAAGAAAACCGCGGATCTAAAAATTTTCAAATTGACATATATTACATAGAAATGTACAGTGATTACAACAAAGTTTGTAGCAATTTTTTTTATTGAACGGTTGCGAAGTTATCGGTCTCTAAAATGAGGGGCCTTGACTTTTTGCACGGATAGTAGATTAATGTTATTGATTAATTTTTCTTAGTAAACAATTTTTAAATTTTTTTCAAAGTTTTCCGATATAAGGGTACTAAAATTTTACATCATCGTAAAGAGAAAAAAATTTCTATCAAATGAGCCTAACGAAAGGAAACATTGCCGTTTAAAAAAAATCAAGTGTTATTCGTTACTCATTTGTTTTCTGAATTAAAAACAAGTAAATGCAATCTTATTATGGCAATTAAAATGTTAAACAACTTTTGTATAAAATGTTTTTTTATAAAGTCACATTTACCGAGATATAAGTATGTTAGGTTCTTTTTTCCCTTTGTACCCGATTCCCGTAAAATAAAACGCACCACACAGTTTAATCGCTTTATTTCACCACTTCACAACTCAACATAACCTCTCATAACATAACCCTCTCGCGCCCGTTATATCGCTACTATTGATTTCTTTTTTTACATTTTATTATTTTACTAATAGATAACACTACATTCGGCCTCGCTACTGTTTGAATCGTCCTCGATTCGCTCTTCAAAGTCCTCCGGAAGTTGACACCAAGGTTTCATCAGGTCTGCTGCAAATATTGAGTTGAACTTCCTTTGAGTACGTTGCGCACCGGGTACATCCACCAAATGGTATCGGTCATTTCCTAGCACTTCATTAACTAGGTAGGGTCCTTTGTAGAGTGGCATCATCTTTCGTGGTTGCCCTGTAGCTGAAGCTTCGCGTTTTATCAGTACTAGATCGCCTTCTTGATATCTTCGTGGTTGTTTATATTTCTTGTCGCTTATGTCTTTTTGAATCTTCTGCATCTTTTCGTCTTTGTTGACGTTCGTATTGTTCTTCTTCTTCTTGTTTTCGTCGTTGCGTTTCTTGTTGTTGCTTTTCTCTTTCTTGTTGCAATTTTTCTCGTTCTTCTTGTAATCTTTCCCGTTCTTGTTGCAACTGTTGTTATTCGCGTTGATATCGTTCTTCTTCTTCTTGTTTACGTTGACGTTCTTGTTGTTGTTGACGTTGTTTTTCTTGTTGCTGTTTTCTTTGTTCTTGAGGACGTTCTTCTTGTATTTCTTCACAACTTTGATGATTTTGTTCTCTATTTTCTTCCTCAGTTTGTTGTTTAGTCCTATTTCACCAAAATAACTTGCAAAGCAACTCTCATTATCTTGAATAAGTTTTCTTAAAGTTTGTTTTTCGTTTTCTCGTAGATCTTCAGGCATTTCGTATTGGTTAGAATCTTCATTTTCTTCCATCTTGTTGTCTTGGATTGGTTCGTCTTCATCTCCTTCATCAGCATTTTCTTCCTCGCTATCTCCTTTCTCTTCGTCTTCCTCATTTCTGTTTTCTTCATCTTCCTTATTTTCATTTTCTTCACCTTCCTTATTTTCATTTTCTTCATCTTCCTTATTTTCATTTTCTTCATCACGACCTTTAACCATATTGATGTAAAGAGGATCTTCTTTCAACACTCGGTGTACTTTCAAACTGTGCCCTTGTTTAATAATCTGTATTTCTGGATCTTCAAATGCACTATTTCCAATTATTATAGAGTCGTCCTGACATTCGTCTGGGACAATGAAAATTTCTACTTCAATCGTTACGTCATCAATTTTAACTATACAACGTGTCTTTCCAATCGTCTTCCCTTCACCTCCACCAAAACCTCTTAGATAAATCACACATGAGATGTAGCCTAAATGTAACCTGATCGCGTCTTTTTCTCTCATTGTCACCACCTCGCTCCCCAAATCGATAAAAGCTACAATTTGTTCGCCATTTACCTCCACTATTTTCCTCAGATCTCCCAATGGTTTGTGAATTTGTATTTGATGAACTCCTTTAGCACTTGTTTCTCTACAATTTTTGGCGATGTGGCCCACTTTATCACATCTAAAACATCGGTTTCTATTTTGAGGTTTAGGACATTTAGTCGAAATGTGTCCAATTTCATTGCAATTGTAACATTTTCTGTTATCAGCACTTCCTGACGCTCTATTATAGTCCTTATTACTTGTGGACGGCATTTTAACGCTATTTGTTTTTATTGTACTTTCATAACTTTTTATTTTTAATAACAGGTCTTGAGTATCAATCGGTAAACTAATGGCTAAAAGTTTACTTAACTCTTTATCCTGTATTCCGGCGATAATATATTTAAGTACGGCCCTGTCGCTAAAATCACCTGCGCTAGCGATAGCTTTCATATTATAAACATAATGCTCATACGTCTCATCTCCACGTTTAACGCGCTTAGACAAATCAAAATGAATGTCGGCCTCATCTACTACCGTTGGAAAATCATCAATTAGTTGTTTTTTAAAAGTTTTCCAATCATAAACCACGTTTTGAACGCTTTCAAACCACAGTTTCGCCGCGCCGTTTAATTTAATTATAGCATTATACAATAACGTTTGATCATCCCACTTAAAAATCATTGCTAAACTTTCCGCGCTTTTAATCCATTGCCGGGCTGTCAACGAATTTGATTTACCTGGATTAAAATCCGAAATAACCTGCTGCATTGTGTTATGGTAATGTACCGAAGTTCTAGCGCCGTCTGCGTTGTCTAATCTTCGTTCTCTTTAAAGTAATTCTCTTTCCTTCATCAACAAATCAGGTTCCTGCGGTTCCTGCTGCAAAAGTCGTCTTTCCCACTGGATGTTAAGATTAAATTCACCAGTTGCGTCCAACGTAACCTCTTCGCCTTCGTTTGTGTTCGATACGAACATGTATTGATCCATTTTAACGACTTTCTGTTTTTAATAACACTTTTCACTTCGATTTAACTTTATCCACTTATCCCTCCGCTGCTTTGTTAGGGTGGCCGAAATTAAAATAATTCTCACTTATTTTAATAATAGTAATACAAAGGAGCATACAAAACGATCTTAACTAACCTACGTCTCAACTTGTACTGTTCGCCCTTCCCACGCCTTCTAACTATCGTTCCTTATGTTAATGTATTGTACAGCAATGGGTTCAGAAAAAAAAATCTCTATCCAATAACGTAAAGAAAAACATACCCATCAATTTGAAAATCAAAAGTTGATAACCGCTTAAAATTGAAGATGGCGTTGGAAAAAATTTATTTGTAGCATGAATCGTAGTATTCATCAAACCATTTGATAACTCTGTCATAAAAATCGGAAGTTAAATAACAGAGTTACAGCTTGCGGCATTCTTGTGTGACAACCTGTATATACAGGTGTNTATATAACAGACAGTACTCTCACTCAGTGGCGGCACGTTTGATGTGGCGAATTGATTTTCAATGACCTCGAAGCCATTATTCTGGCATAAAACACAACAGGTCCGCATTAAAAATATTTAAAACGTCGAAAATATTAAATTAAAAAAGTTATTCGCAATTAAATTTCTGAACTGATAAAAACATTAGTTATTGAGTTATATATTATATAAGTAATAACGTCATTATTTATAATATTTGATATTTTATTTTAATCTTTACACTTGTCGTTACGGCTCTGCACAAAAACAAACCTCACAGACACACTGGCGATTAGCAAGATTTAAACCAGCGTAATGGCCGCTCGCCTGCGTAATGAGGGCTGCGCATATCTTCCCGCCAAACCGAGTGAGAGTACTGTCTGTTATATATACTGTGTCACAACTCAACATAACCTCTCATAACATAACCCTCTCGCGCCCGTTATATCGCTACTATTGATTTCTTTTTTTACATTTTATTATTTTACTAATAGATAACACTACAAGTATATCTATATTCCTTTCATCGTGACCGCACTGTATAATTAATATTCGATGTTAAAGATATTATAACATCAATTTAATATTTATCACAATGTATCCTCACGACTTCCCAAAAAGCCAACATAGACCAATCCTTGTTCAATTGAGTATCCAAATCCCGATAATAAGATCTTTTTCCAGGCCTCGATAGAGTTTTACAAAAGCCGATTAGTTGGGCTTCGTAAAAGATTTTGAGAAATGATTAGTATGGATACCCTCTACATTTCGTATGCCAAAAGATACATTCCAGAGGCCTTCGCAAGGACTACACACCTGAATGGATTGTTGAGAGCTAAAGAAAATATCAGAAATACCTTGACAATGGTGACGCCAAAATAGGTGAAGAACTACTTTTCACTTTGGATGCTATCTATAGCGAGACATGGTCCCAAATAACAGAAAATATGGATTTCAAACACTTAAGCAGAAAGGCTTGGGCCCTATTAAAGAATCAAGAGGAACGTCCACCTGTTGTTAAAATGATCTCCCCCATTTTAGCCAACCAAGTAGAAAACCATGTACTAGTTCAGCTAATGTAGATTTCAGATTCATCGATGCATTCATATTTAGAATAAAAAATAAAACAAACCGTATTTATTCTCAACGATGATACATATCAGTACCATAGTTCCATTGGAAACACGTTGTGACTTATGGTTATGGTTCATGCATGACGGTGCTCCACCATATTTCAGCCTGATTGCTAGGGAGTACTTAAATAATACTTTTCCAAATCGTTGAATTGGCAGAGGTTGTTGAAATAGCAGAGCTGCATGGCTACCATGTTTACCAGATCTATCATCAGATAGATTTTTTTATGGGGCCTATTAAAACAACTTGTGTACCTACTTGTAACAAATCGCATTTTGAGCTTTCTAATCCGGTTAAATATAAGTTAAATTGTAGGAACCATTGTAAAGGTACAACTTTGTAGTTTATTTACAAAGTTGTACCGTGACAACCGACGGTTCAGTTTAAATCTTACGTTGGTGGTAATGATAAGGTCCAGCGGAAATTGCTGAGGTGGTGGTTTCGAGTAGACGGAGCAGGAAAGGAATTAAGAAAGAAAAAAGGTTCAGTTTTTGAGTTGATTTAGAGCCGGTTACGAGCATTGAAAGTAGAAGAGTCGAGCGATATCGTTTAATAAAAGCAAAGAAGATAAATAGTAGTTTTGTTTTTTAGTTCGTGGCGCGCGAATATACGTTCGTGAGCGTTATTAAATTTTTATCTAACCTTTTTATGCACCTACTCAGAACCGCCTCAGAAATTTCTAGATCGAGACAAATGTCAGGATTTGCATTTTTGTAGCTTTCTATATATAATTTTTTGTTATAAATAATAATAATTTTAACATCTCTTCTTATTATTAAAGTAAATTTGTTTATATCAGTTAAGTTTTAGTTTCTTTTCGTTTTATCGTTTTTCTTCAAATTACTGCTTTTCGCTTTCATGTATGACGCTGCTTCACTATATTTCAAATTGNGTCCACCTGTTGTTAAAATGATCTCCCCCATTTTAGCCAACCAAGTAGAAAACCATGTACTAGTTCAGCTAATGTAGATTTCAGATTCATCGATGCATTCATATTTAGAATAAAAAATAAAACAAACCGTATTTTTTCTCAACGATGATACATATCAGTAAAGATAAAGATAGAGACCACAGCAGACGTATTAAGAGAGGGCTGAAAGAGATTAGGCCGCCTACCAAAAAAGATCTAACTTCTCGCAACCCTTCACACATGATGAAGTCTTCAGCCCATTCCAACAGTTGACAATCGGCCGGTTCCTGGTTAAGTGCAGCCGATTCGACAGGAATAGGCTAGCTGGAATTTACACTAATATTCTGAAAAACTGCCTGGTAGCTATCGACCTATTGCTCTAATGATCGCCTGATTTAAACTCCTAGAACGCCTCATTCTAAACCGAATTGATAATAAGATTACAGAAACAGAGCATATCCCGGTCGAACAGGTAGGCTCCAGGCGGGCCCGCAGATGAGTGGATCACCTTCTCAGCCTTTCAACATACAGGGTGTATCTGAATGACTGCAACAAACTTCAAGGGGAGATTCTTTAGTGAATTTTAAGGGTACTTTGATATATGAACCATGGGTGACTTCGGCTCCCCTAAGGAGCTACACCCCTTCAAAAATGGCGGAAAATTTTGGTTTAATTTTCTTTTCTCAAAAACCATAAACGCT